TGGTTTTCCCCCCGAGATAGGAAACCTGCTAAAAGAAAGAGACGCTGCCTGGGCCAAGGCCAATAAAGTACTAAATGATCTCATTCATGCCCTTGACTGCAAACGATACTGTGTTGCACTATTTATAGATCTATCCAAAGCATTTGGCACAGTTGATCTCAGGCTACTAACAAACATCCTGGAACACTCTGGTCTWTCAAAACATGCAGTTTCCTGGTTMWCYAACTACCTAACTGACAGAATACAGTCTGTTCATTTAGCTAGATCCTCCTCTACCTTCTTAGATGTTGTGAAAGAGGTGCCACAGGGTTCTGTACTGGGTCCCATTCTTTTCTCTCTTTACATCAACAACCTGTGCAGCAATCTGTCAAACGCCTCCCATCATTACTATGCAGATGACACCATCATCTATTGCTGTTCATCCTCCCTCAGCCAAGCTTTCACCTCTCTTCAGGACGCTTTTAATATCATTCAGTCATGTCTGCAAAAACTTAAACTGGTCTTAAACGCTGAAAAATCAAGATCATGGTCTTATCCAACAGAAAACAGCAATCAGTGAACCCACCTCAAATCAAAACCAAACAGGGAAATCTAATAGAAATGGTCTCCACCTACAAACACCTAGGTTTCCACATTGATAGTGACCTGTCTTTTAAAACACACATCTTCAAAATGGCCTCTAAACTCAATCTGAAGCTAGGCTTCTTCTTCAGAAACAAATCCTGCTTCACATGCAAAGCAAGGAGAATATTAGTAGCTGCTACATTCATGCCGATATTAGATTATGGTGACGTACTCTGCATGAGTGCTGCATCAAAATACCTCCAGTCCTTAGACTCCATTTACCATAGTGCTCTTTGGTTCATTACTGACTCCACTTATCAGACTCWTCACTGTGACCTTTACGTCAAATCYRGCTGGRCATCTCTCAACGCCCACAGATACACCCACTGGATWTCCATCATCTACAAGACCCTACTAAACCTAGTCCCGTTATACCYTACCTCCTTAATACAAACAACACACAGTCWTTACTCCCTGCGCTCTAACAATCTAGTCCTCCTATCAGTGCCTCCAGTCAGAACTGAACKAGGTAAAAGAGCATTCAGCTTCGCAGYCCCCTCAACCTGGAACAACTTACAGAYAGATCTGAAACTGTMAACAYTCATCCSTMCTAGATCCTTCATGTCAACCGTAATAGATAACGTCATCAAGAAACTTGACCGTTGCAGATGTTTCTAAACATTACCTATCCATTATACATGTCACTGTCGTTTTTTTAACTATATCTCCTCAAACGATGTCTGTCTGTTTTTATTCCTTGACWTATTTTTCTCACMTAAATTTCTTCTGGATCTGTCATAACCACCATTGCTGGGCAACGTTCATTCTTCTTTCAATTGTTGAAGACGTCTTTCATGTTTCACGTGCGTAAATGGCTGTTAGGATGACAATCAAGTTCAAAATGTGGATCTTTGTCGCTGTGCTKATGGTCATGGACACCCCAATTGGTTGGAGCTGCTGAAAAACAACTCCCACCTTCACAATCCAGCATGCCTCATCGTAATCTGCATCACCATCGTTGGTTATAATGCTGCCCACGTACATGAACCTTTGCACTCCTTCAATCTGGTGTGGTACGAYAGTGGCGGGGGTGYCAGCCATGGYGTWCCTAATTTGCATGATCTTGGTYTTCTTGWTGTTAATCCRGAGTCTGACCTTGTTTGATCCTCCATCWAGGCTCTGGGTCATGTCRATGATGCTCTTGTTTGCAGATGWYATTGCATTTCTTGGGACAACAAACAACAATTGAGCAGATTTCTGAGTAACGTGGACCRAATYGGTCCAACTTACAGATATCGACTTTGCAGATGACATTGCATTTCTTGGGACAACAAAGTCGATATCTGTAAGTTGGACGGATTCGGTCCACGTTACTCAGACATCTGCTCAATCCATGGTCCTGGACAGAATATAGTCAATGAACAGTAGGAATAGCAACGGGTAAAGTATACACCACTGGTGCACACCGGTCTCAATGGCGAATAACTCTGTTGTTCCTTCCTCTGTTTGTACATAGCAGCTTGAGTTGAGGTAGAGATTTTGGAAAACTTGGACAAACTGTTCAGGAATTCCATACCACCTCACAGTTTTCCAAAGCGACTCCCTATGGACACTGTCGAAAGCTTTGGTGAAGTCTACGAAGCTGACTGATAGCCGTTATTGGTTTTCCAGGCTCTGCTCAATGATGGTCTRCAGGACAAAGATCTGCTCTACRCATGATCGACCACATCTGAAGCCAGCTTGCTYGTCTCTTAGCTTCGTGTCCACCACAGCTTGTTGCTGTCAGAGAAYAATGATACAAAAACCCAGTCAGGACCCATTAAAGTCAAGGTGGGCAAAGACATRTRGGGCTACCATGGAACCTGCAAACTAATTTGGATATAACCTCTGTTACTTACCCTTATTTATGMCATATTGGGCCCCCATACKTGTGCTGGTTRGGAATAAATCTMGACAAAGTTGTACCAGAWGGAAGAAAAGGCTGTAAAAGTATGAAGACTTATTAAGAAACACTTGCAAAAAAACCTTACAATTAAGTTAATTAGCTGYAGCAGGTAAAAGCTCTTTGTTTTGTGACTCTGCTTGTTGCAGGAGTAATTTTTGTCGATTATGGGCCTGTTTGGARGGAACATCGTCGTTTTGCAGTGATGACTCTGAGAAATTTTGGYCTGGGGAAGAAATCCATGGAGGAGAGAATTCATCAAGAGATTCAGTTCACYGTTAAAACACTGGAAAAGAGCATTGGTGCTTAATACATCTGAAAATATTTRAAGCTTTTGGTTGTGCTGTTGGTGTGATATTCTGTATTTAAATCTGTGTACAGGYAAAATTATGAGTCCTCAGGTGATGTTCCATAAYGCAGCCTCMAACATCATCTGTAAGGTTCTGTTTGGGACCCGTTATGAGTACGAAGATGAAACCATCAAAAAGGTTGTTCRATGGTTYACAGAGATGAMTAAAATAGCCAATGGACYGTGGGCCATGGTGAGTCTAAGTAGGCCTGTCAACAGGCTCAATCACACCTGTTTATTACATTAGGCTCAATTGTTTTTGGTCTTCAATCAACCATGCCCCCTCACACCTGTTTCCTGCCCTATTAATCTCAGCTCTTTCCAGTCTTCTCAAAACGTAGCCCCCAATAAAACCTACTTTCTGTTCCATTAAACTCAGCTGTGTCCAATCTTCCCAAAAAGCAGGCCCAATCACACCTGTTTCTTGTCCCATTAATCTCAGCTTTCTTCATATGTTTAAGTATGATCTGAAATTTGGTAGCCAAAAAAATCCCAAACATTATGTTATACCATGAGGCAGGCCTAATTAAAGTTTCTCCAGGAACTCTTCTAGTTTTGACTCTTCTTATTCAGGTCTAAGAAGAGCAGGTCATGCACACAAACAAACCACAATTTGATTTATTCTGTAATAATCTATCTTTCAGCTGTACGACTCGGTTCCATGTGTTTCCTACCTGCCGCTGCCCTTTAAAAAGGCCTTTAAGAACATGGAGGTAATTTTCATACAGCTTAGGCACAATAAACTAACAACATCATGTCTGCATATGTTTAAATAATGATGTGTGATTTAGCTGTACCTCGACTTTTCAAATGGTTTGGTGAACGAGCACAAGAGGACCAGAACCCCTGGAGAACCTCGTGACTTTGTGGACTGCTACCTGGATGAACTGGATAAACAGGTGTGTGAACACAATATAAAACTTCAACATCATGATGCTGATGAATGTGAGACAGGTACAGAAAAAACTAAAACCAGGAAAGCTGACTCATCGTTATCACAAATCTTATATTTTGTTTCTCCTACAATATTCTCTGTATTCTGTCCAGAGAGAAGATTCTTCATTTTCTGAGGAACAGCTCAGAAGGATCACTTTTGATCTTTATATTGCTGGAACTGACACYACCTCCAACACCCTCCTGACTGGGTTTCTGTACCTCATGAACCATCCTCAGGTCCAAGGTACAYCTTCAGGATTTGTCTCATCTTTCAGATCAACAYGGGDCATAAAGGAAGGTTTTAACGTGGTGACTAGAAGCGGGCCATTGATTATGGTGGCAACAAAACCTAAAATATATTAAAATATTGAGTTGGCAGGTTAACACAGCTTGAACTTGTTTGGAAATTACTGTTTTAGACCAAAAAATAAGAGTAAATTGAAATGTGTAAAACAGTTTTTGTCCCCTCAGATCGATGTCAGCAGGAGATCGATCAGGTTCTGGATGGGAGGGATCGGGTCAGTTTTGAGGATAGACACAACATGCCTTACATGCAGGTGATGAGCATCATCACACACACACCTGTTCTGTTAATCTGAATGTTTAATCTGAGAGGCATTTCTGAATGTGTTTATATCAGCTAAATTGCAACTTTTCTGACATTTCTTTCTATACGATGCCTAAAATAATTGATTCAAAGACAGTTTGTAATATCTCTATTGTAATCCAGGCTGTGATCCATGAAGTCCAGAGGGTTGCCAACACTGTTCCTCTCAGTCTCTTCCACTGCTCCACTAAAGACACAGAGCTGATGGGATATGACATTCCTAGGGTGAGAAACGTAGTTAGTACAACATGTTTATATTAAATAAATCATGCTATCTTCATGATTTTATCTTTCCCTTTGGTTTCCCTTCAGGGTACCATTGTCATCCAGAACATGGAATCAGTGCTGAGGGAGGAGGGTCAGTGGAAGTTCCCTCACGAGTTCAATCCTGAGAATTTCCTGAACGAGCAGGGAGAGTTTGTCAAACCAGAGGCCTTCATGCCATTCTCTGCAGGTAAACTCACATCAAACAAAGAGACAAAATGAAACCAAACAGCTAGAAATGACCTTTTCTGGTGTCTCAGGTCCGCGAATGTGTCTGGGAGAGGGTCTGGCTCGTATGGAGCTGTTCCTCATGACGGTGACCCTGCTGAGGAAGTTTAAGTTCRTCTGGCCGGAGGATGCTGGAGAACCAGACTTCACTCCGGTCTTTGCTGTCACTTTATGTCCAAAACCTTACAAGATGAAGGTCCAGCTGAGGTCCAAACAGTGAGGAGGTGCAGACGCTCTGCAGAAACTGATGAAAGAACTGAAAGCGGCTCCTTTTAAACCTTTTTCAGGATTTTTTCTAATCAGTAATGGGCTCGACACACATGGAATGACAAACTATGGCGATTAGCAGCTGTCATTGCAACCAGGGTGAAACCCAACACACAGGACGTGATAGCAACATCAGTGTTACAAATCGCACTCTCAGKTTGCTTTGATTTGATTGGTTCTTCTGCTGATTTTATGTTTTTACTGGTGGTTGTCAGGAGAGGTGAAAAAAAGAATAATGTGCATTATGGATGTGTACTAAACAAATCTTGCAATGATAATGATATTGAAAACCAAGCGTATGCCAAGAAATGATTTTATGAGGAAAAACCTGCTGGGCAATTTTACCCTGGCTGCCTTTTTAACAATCATTTTGTGAAGTGTCATATAAAGTTGTTGAGTTTGACAGAGTTAAAATGATGTTGAAAGTGTTAGCTAACAGCAGTGTGTAGCATACTCTCCTCTCATTGGTCAGTCAATGAAACCTTTGCTGACTGGTTGTAGCACCATGCAACAGCAACAAAAGTTTAACATTTTTCAACTTTCATATGTTGCGTTCCAAGCTTGCGTGTGCACATCTATGTGTACAAGCGCAAAATATCACATGCACGAGTTTCGCTGGTCGCTTGGCTGGAGCAGGGTGAGTGATTGTCGCCTCATCGCACAAGCTCCGTAGGAAATGAATGGAGAGAGAGCAACATCGTCTCCTGTGTGTCGAGCAAATTAGTTTTTCAGTTTGAAAGGCTTAAAAAAAGGCTTGTTTTCATCATAAATACCTTGTTAGAGAAGAACCCATTGAATGATTATTTTTACTTGTACAAAATAAATCCAATGTGTGGAATGTTGAAAACGTGATAATAAAGAATATTCAAAATAAATTGTAGCCTTTATATTTTAAATATTGCTCAAAACCCAACACTGAAACGTGTTAAGTGTAGATCTGCAGATTAATAAGTCAAACATATAAATAAATGTAAACCAGGGAGTGTTATTCTTTACTAAACTATTCTATACCAAATTGTAGGAAAAATATGTGTTGTTCAAAATGGTATGTCCGAATAAATAGGAATCCGCAGGATTTCTTGTTAAAACTTTATTTTCAATCTTCTGACTCCAATCAGGTTCATACAGCACTCAGCAGCACAGGCCTCAGTGTAAGAGCTTGGACTGAACTAAAACAAAACACAGCTGCCTTCTCTAAAGCAGAGACTCGGACCACAATGTCAGATAATGGCAGTGGTGAAATCACCGTACTGTACTTTGCTCCAGTATCCACAAAACACATGCACTCCCGACCGTCAACTGTAAGTTTTACCATTGGGTCCCCATCGCTGGCTCCTGGCACCACTATTGCATTTGCAAACCACCCCCATGTCCTCCTACCCAGGACTATCCCATGTTATGTGTTGTCGGTGCTGTTTGTGGTGGATAGTATGTAAGAGCAAATGCTGGACCTGCCCCCTGTTGTGAAGGTCCCCCACTTCTTGCTTTTGACCAATGACCAAGTTGCCCACACAAGAAACAAATGTCTGCATTGTAGTCCCTTTTTCCTCTCCTTTGTACTTTACCTTTACGGTTAAATGTCGCCCCTAACCTAAATGTCGTGTAACCTAACCCTAACCTCTCACCCACCACTACTACAGGCTCCAGAGGACTTCCCAGCACAGAGCTTGACCTCCGTACCAGTTTGTCCATCCTGTTCCTGTCCCTTTCAGTACATCCAGCCCCCCAGCAGACCACTCCATAGAAATGGGCAGATGCTACCACCATGTCGTAGAATGTCTTTAACAGAGTCCTGCAGACACTGAAGGACCTCAGTCTCCTCAGTAGGTGGAGTTTACTCTGGTCCTTCTTATACAAGACGTCTGTGTTTGTAGTCCAGTCCAGCTTGTTGTTGAGGTGAACACCCAGGTACTTGTAAGAGTCCACTGTCTCAATGTCTTTTCCCCGGATGTTCACCAGTGCTGGAGGGTGTGACTTTCTCCTTAGGTCTATGACCATCTCCTTTGTCTTGCTGGCATTGATTTGGAGAGCATTGGTCTCACACCATCCAACAAAGTCACTGATGACCCCCCTGTATTCCTCATCATTCCCGTCTGATACGCGTCCAATGATGGCYGTATCATTCGAGAACTTCTGAAGGTGGCAGTGGTCCGAGTGGTACCTGAAGTCTGACGAGTACAGACTGAACAGAAAGGGTGAGAGGACAGTGCCATGTGGTGCCCCCGTGCTGCAGACTACCACATCAGACACACAGTCGCAGAGCCTCACATACTGTGGTCTGTTGGTGAGGTAGTCGATGGTCCATGCTGTCAGCTGCCTGTCCACTCCGGCTCCCTCCAGCTTCCCTCTCAGCAGAGCAGGCTGGATAGTGTTGAAAGCACTGGAGAAATCAAAGAACATGACTCTCACAGTGTTTCCTCCTTGCTCTAGGTGAGAGACAGAGATCTGTGCTGCAGGTAAATGACAGTGTTCTCCACCCCGATGCCAGGCTGGTAGGCGAACTGCAGGGGGTCCAGTGCTGGGCTCACCACAGGATGAACATGGTGCAGGATGAACCTCTCCATGGTGTTCATCAGATGAGAAGTCAGAGACACCGGTCTGTAGAGGTTGGGCTCCCTGGGATGTGTGATCTTTGGCACTGGAACCATGCAGGAAGTCTTCCACAGATCAGGAACCCTCTCCAGACTCAGACTCAGGCTGAAGATGTGGTGGACCACCTGACAGAGCTGGTCTGCACATTTTTYTCACTTAGATTGAGTGATTTCACATTAACAGAATTTAAATACTGAGCTGTAGCTGCTTTATCATATTT